GGTTGGACTGGGTTTTGAACGTCATACTTGCAAAACAGGTGCTTACTGCTTGAGCCACACCTCCAGTTCATTTTGCTCTGGTTATTTTGGAGATGGGTTCTCATGAACTATTTGCTTGGGTTGGCCTTAACCACGATCCTCTTGATCTCAGCCTCCCATGCAGCTGGGATTACAGCTGTGAGCCACTGGCGCCTGGTGATACATGTTTTTAAATGACTGAATGTAACTTATCTGTAGCTTATTATTTGCACATAAAAGTGTTGAGTGTTTTTTTGTTTTTTGGTAAGTTTGTTTTTGTGGGGCTGGTGACAGCCAAAAAAAGTAGCATGCAGGGCCGGTGGAGTGGCTCAAGCGGTAGAGGAACTACCTTGCAAATGTGAAGTCCTTATTTCAAATCCGAGTCACCAAAAAAAGAAAAAAAAAAGTAGCATGCATGTATAAGGAGTTGGTTTTACTCTGTTCAGTACTTCATCCAAAGAACTGAGATGTTTATTTGAGAAACTACACTGTGGGAGGTGGCCAGGGGTCATGAGCCTGCAGATGTATAGTGGGAAGCAAGCCTTGTTGGTTGATGTCACTTCTCCTCTCCTCAGGGAGGAGGGCAAGTTGATTTGGTTATCCATTCCAAAAAGCCTAATCAAATGTGCCTTTGTTAGCACTTCACAAGGCTTTCCACTGAATGTGGCTTGTGTGCCTTGAATTTGTAATGGAAGTAGAGGGCAACAAGAGGACTGTGAATCTCGTTTGAGGAGGAAACCATTCTTTTTAGTAAACTTGGAACCTTTGTTCAATTGAGACAGATGAGAAAAATATAGCTGAAGTGGGTGAAGCCAGTGTTCTTTGTTCTTGCTGTATTCATCATTAGGATCATTTGTTTCCGCTTTCCAGGCAATAACGTCTTATGTAATTGTTTTTCATAGGGAAATCCAGATAAAAAGTCTACCAATGAACCTGCTTCCAGCCCAGTAAAACATGGAAAGGAAAATCCTGTCCAGAGAGAGCCCCAGAAGACTCTCGGCCAAGCTAGGCAGAGGCACAGAAATGAAAAAAGTGGCCCGACAACTCGGCATGGTGGCTGCTGAGTCAGATAAGGACTCTGGATTTTCAGGTTAACAATATCTTATCATTTCTACATTGTAATGAATGATTCGCCTTACACATTTCCTCCCTAAAACTCAAGTGTGTGATAAGGATAGGAAACTTTTATACACAGATTAAGTAGCTATTTGATTTCTTAAAATGGTAATTCTAATACCATGTGGTTGGGTATCCATCAAAGTTGCGGTATGTTAGTTCTGAAATTTGACATCTTTTCAACTTAGACTCTCAACTTGAAGTCTTACGTTTCCAACTGTTGTAAGTGGTTGCTGGAAAAACTATTTCAGTACTCACAATTCTGTTGTGTTAACTCCTTTTTCATAGGAATAGTTATATTGCACAGGGGGAACATTAGTTCATGTCGTCTCCATGTAACAGTTTGAAGACTGCCAGTTAAAAGTAGTGTGGTCATGCATCACTTAATGAAAGGATACATTCTGAGGAACTTGACCTTAGGTGATTTTTGTTCTTGTGTGAACCCTACCAAGTGTACTTTCACAAATCTAGATACACACCATGTGAGATGATAAAGCCACCATCTCAGATCCATTCCATCATCAGCTGAAGCATCGTTAGGTGGTGCATGACATATAATATGTTAAGCTAACTTTGTCACTAAGAAAGTAATTTTTCTGTACTTAAAAACTCCCCCCACCCTTAATAATCTTTCCTTCCCAACATCTGTATTTTGTGTTTAGACTGTGAGCCACTTGACCCAATTCTTAACTCTATTAGAGATAAGAAAGTAGAATGCTTCCTTACTAACTTGTCTCAAACCTTACCCAAAAGAGCTAGCTGCAGCCCAATAAATCTCTTAATTTTGTGATGAGGTTCTTTTTTATTTTGAGGTCTTGGGGGTAGTGGCTTGCTGAATTAGTGTCAACATTTCTGGCCCACAGGATGAACAGGGGTGATGCAAGGTGACTTGGGCTCAGCATCCTGAGAACGGAATCTTCTCTAGGGGAAATTTTATATATATTATCCTAGCTCACTGAAATGAATCCATCAATTCTATTGATTTATTAATTCATAGTGAGACATGCAGCTGTTAAGAAAACAAGAACTCTCTCATTCTTAGATTGGTGTATTTTTGCCTCACAGGCATGCTGAATGAGAAGCCAAATTATAAATAGACTGTTACTCAGAGAGGGACAGAACACCAACCAAGGGATTAGAATAAGAGGAATTAGTTGCCTGCCCAGGGCCAGGGCAGTGTGGGGATGGGTGAATCAACCTGTAGCACTTTGGGTTTTTCGACTCTTATCTCTTAGCAGTGTTTCCCAAGCTTGCTTCATCCTCAGCTCACCCATGGCATTCGTTAAAACACAGATGCCTAGACCCTGACTTGCAGGTTCAGATACCTGAGAGACCAAGGGAGGGCCTGGAATGTGGGTCTCTGTTGTAACATCAGACAGATATAGGAAACACCGCAGGCCTAGAGTCTCTTTTTCCTTTTAATATCATGTTTGTTCTTTGTTTTTCATATCATGTAGGTAATACATGTTCACTGTAGAAGCTTAGAAACTTAGGCAAGTCAAAGAAGAAAACAAACATTATTCATAGTACTTTCATCTATAATTCCCAGTACTGTTGACTTTTTGGCACTCCTTCTTCCAACAGTTTCAATTTCATCTGTTCCAGAAGGTCATCCCAGTGAATGCCTCCCAGCCAGTCCTGGGCCAGGTGCCAGTGATTTTGTCACTGCCTGAGTTATTCCACTTACCTTGGATATGATGAAATTCGTAAAACCTATGTGGTGTTTCCCATTTTAATTATTTTCCCAACTTTATATTTTGAGAAATTTCAAATCTATACAACAATGAAATGATACCCCACATGAAAGATATTTTCTTTCAGATCCACTGAGTGTTATCATTTTGCCATGTATGTTCTCTTTCTCTCTCCACCCCCACCGACATTAGCTGAACTATTTGAAAGTTTCAAACACTTGAGATTTCACCCCTTAAAACTTCAGTATGAATCTCCTAAAAACAGGATATTCTTCTATGTAATATCATTATCATACCCAAGAAACAGTTATCATTAGCCACAGTATGTATTCAGATTTTCCCCATTGTCCCAATAATGTCCTTTGTAGCTGTTTATCTTTTTCTCTTTGTTTTGGATCCAGCAACCAATTGAGGATTGTGCATTGCATTTAGCTGCCCTGCCTTTTTAGTCTTAGTCAATCTACAGTAGCTCCCCCATCTTTCCTTTCTTTGTTTCCTTCTTTCCTTATGACATTGCCATCTTTGAGCAAGTCAGGCTTGTTGTTTTGTAGAATGTTCCACACTCTGGATTAAACTTAGGGCTTTGCCCTTGCTAGGCAGGTGCTCTACCACTTGAGCCACACTTCCAGCCTTTTTTGTGTTGGCTATTTCCCATCTCTGTTTCCCAAGTAGCTAGAATTACCTGGCTTACTTTTTTTTTTTTTTTTTAGCAGTTCTGGGGTTTGAACTTAGGGCCTTGTGCTTGCTAGGCAGATGCTTTATCACTTGAGCCATGTACCTAGCCCAGGGTAAACATTTTTGACCGGAATACTACATTGTTGATACCCTGTCCTTCCCATTGCAACACATAAGGAAAATCAAAATTAGTCTTATTCTTGGTAATACTCTGATTGATCACTTGGTTAAGGTAACCTGTACCAAATTTCTTTATTCTAAAAATGCCCTTTTCTCTTTGTAATTAATAAGTAATTCATGGGGTGACACTTTGAGATTGTGTTCTCCAAGAAACTTGTTTTGTTTTTTGTGTTTTTGAGACAGGGTCTCAGTATGTAGCCCAGACTGGCCCTGCCCTTGCTAGCCTCCTGCCTCAGTCTCCAGAGTGCTGAGATTAAAGGCATTTCCCACCTCGCCTGACTCCCAAAAAACTCTTGACCAATGGTTTTAGCATCCATTGATGATCCTTGCTTGAGTCAGTTACTACATTGGTAATTTGAAAGTTGTGGTCTTCTCATTCTGTCTTTCTTTGTCCATTATTAACTGACACTCTTCTGTAAAGAAGCATTTTATATTCTCTTTTCCCTTTGTAGCACTGTCGATTCTGGAATTCTTTTGTAATTTAGTTTGTCAATCCATTAACATCTTTATTTCTGATAAAATTGTCCCAAGTTTTTTATTATTCTTGTGGTGTCCAGAGCCTCTAAAAGTCTTAGTCCTGCCTCTCCTCCCTTCTCAACAACAGATTCTTGAAGGTAATGAACTATCTTCAAAGGCCTCAATTCCTTTCTCCTGTAGACTGGTGATTACTTTCATATGAATCCTAATTGATGGAGGTTTTTATCTGTAAGAGATTTGCAAAGGAAGTCAAGATGAGCAGTGATGCTTAATCTTTTGGAGTGGGAGGGATAATTATGGATCCCATTAAAAATTCAATGAAAGTTAGACACCTCAGAAAATTCATAAAAACACATATCACAGATGTTCCTTTCCATTTCAAGGGGCCCAGTGGTTCCTGAGGAGCCAGATGAAGAGCCCTTAGCCTATGGCCTAAGTGAACTGACCATTCTTCTGTCTACCAGATGGGAGCTCAGAATGTCTGAGCTCTGCAGAGCAGATGGAATCTGAGGACATGCTGAGCGCCTTGGGCTGGAGCAGAGAAGACAAGCTGAGGCAGAGCTCCAAAGCTGCAAACACCTTCCCTACACTGTCCCCCATGGTCGTTATGAAGAATGTGCTGGTCAAGCAGGTGAGGAGGACTAATATGACCCAAAGTCTTTGCAGATGAGTATTTCCAAGCTTCTTGGGTTGGACTCTCCCTTTCTGTCAAGGAGAGATTTCAGAAGCAGACAGAAGAACCACACTGCTGCATACTTTCTGTTCTGAAGAGTGAATGACACCTTTCAACAACTGTTTTAAAAAGGAATATAGGGGGCTGGAAGTATGGCTCAGTGGTAGAGTACTTTTCTAGTATGTACAAGGCCCTGGGTTCAATTCCTAGTGCTTGGGGGAAAAAAGTATAGAGTCAACACTAATACTCTCATTTTTGAGACAAACTATTTGATTTTTGTTTTCCTGGTTTGTTCAAAGTTTTATATATAAAGGAACCAAGTTGAAATGTTACATCAGCAGTGCATTCTAACATAGGGTAGAGTTTAGGGTAGAAAAGAACAATGTCTTTTCAATTTGAATTGCCCTGGAAATTTGGAAATGTAACACACACTTATAAACCAGGCATCATGGTGTGTGCCTGTGAGATCCCAGCACTCTGTAGGATGAGGCAGAAGGATCACAAGTTTGAGGGTAGCCTAGGCTACAAAGAAAGACTCTGTCCAAAAAAAGAGACACCTTTGTATTTATTTCAGAAATAGAGGCCATTTCTAAGGCAAAGCCTTGTCATTGTTAGTGACAAAGCACTAATGACAGTACTTGAGAGTGCTTTTACCAATGGAGTCCACAGAGCTAGTTGTAAAGTTGAAAGGACTGTGTTGTGGGTTTTGTTACATAACTGTGTATCTTATGTGATTATTGTTTAGATATGAAGGGGAAGATTTGGATGAAAATATGTTAAGCTCCAGTTTTTGAAACTGAGACTCCATCTTATGAACTTGGTTAAGTTAGAACAAAGAAGTCTGAGGAATGGAAGACTGATTTAAGTCAAAGAATATTTAATAAACTTACCCTACTATGCTCTGAAACTATATCACAGTTCTTGCATGGATACATCGATAAGACTACTTAAAGATAATGAAATTAAAAATCCAGCCTAAGTGTTGATCTTCCCGCCTTAGGTCGAAGGTTAGAAGAATATGGCTGTAGCATAGTGGGAAGCCTTAATGCACTAACTATTATCAGATTACTTCTGAGGAGCACATGCTGAGGTTCGCAAGGCAGCCTGATGAGTTCTGAAAAAGAATTTGAAGATTTTGCTTGGTAAATCACATCTTAGCTGGAACCTCAGCTCTTCTTATTGAAAGGAAAAGAGAGCATAAAGATTCCATTTGGAATGGAGTCCAAATGACATGGTCTTGCCAGGCCTGTCTAGTGCTTCTAGGTGACCATGGTCCTGGCTCTCTTTCTTCCTGTCTCTCCTCTGGCTCCCTTGTTATTCCTTCTTTGTGTGGCTATGTTAATAAGCCTCCTGTGTTGCAGGCTGGGCTGGCTGGCAACTCTGGAAGGTGTGAGCAGCCCACACTCAGGAGTAAGGAGGCTTTTCTGGCAGAGCCTCATTCTGTAGACAGAGAGTGGGCCTGTCAGGAGATAGGAGGTTTGGGGACAAGCTGGCCTTATGAAGTAGCCTCAGGGTTTTGCTTAGTTTAGTTTTGGTTTTTAATTTTTTTATTCCCATAAGTTAATTATACAAAGGGGTTTCATTGTGACGTATACATGCATGTAATGTATTTTGATCAAATTCACCCGCTCTATTACTCATTCTTAACCTCCCTCTCCCTCCTTTTAACCGTTTTTAGTGGGTTTCATTATGTTATTTTTACACACACCCACACAATGTCCTTCAGTCATCTTCTTCCCCACCCTCTTTTTCCCGTCTCCTCCCACTCAAACAGTCCTCCCTTTTATAATCTTGTCACATGATTATTGTTGTTGTTATGTCTAGATTCTACCTATGAATGAAAATATGTGATATTTATTTTTCTGAGCTTGGCTTATCTTGCTTAACATGATGATCTCTAGTTCCATCCGTTTTCCTACAAATGACATAATGTCATTCTTCTTTACTGCTAAATAATACTCTATTGTATATATGTCCACATTTTCTTTAGACATTCATTGGTTTTTGGGCACCTAGGCTGATTCCATAGCTTGGCTATTGTGAATAGTGCTGCTATAAATATGGGTGAGCAGGTCTCTGTTATATCTGACTTACATTCCTAGTTTTGTTTTTTTTAACATGCTAGACTCCACTACATTCTAAAATTAAAATACTTTTTTTTTTGGTGATACTGGGGTTTGAACACAGGGCCTCAAATTTGCTAGTCAGGCACTCTACCACTTGAGATATACTTCCTCCAACCCAAACTAATAATATACTTTTAATAACTACTGTATATTGGGAGTTGATCATTGATAGTTGATGGTCTTGATCGTTAGTGCTTGATTTTAGGAATTTTCCTTTCAGAGGTCTGCCTCCACTTCTACCACTAGACAGTACAGTCTTGCCATGACCAGTCAGCCACCGTGGACTTCATTTCTTTAACTGAGCATGAAGGCTTAATGTGAAATTATTCTGGAGTCCTGTCCAACTCTTAAAATTTTGTTCCATATTCCCTTAGATGATTTCAACTTGAATAATACAATATGTAAAATCTAGTAATTAGAACAAATTAATAGCAGCATGAGAAAGAACAACCCAGGAAAATTATCTTGGGAAGGCAATGTATTAGATTTGTGGCCTGAAGTTTTGCTTCTGACTGAGCTGAACTTGGTTGATCTCTACTCCAAAAGACCCTGATTTTGGATCTCTTCTGATAGAGAAATGTGGTTTCTGGGCCTTCCTTGCTTGCTTTTGTACATCCCAGCTATATTTGAATACCAAAGGGCTCCAGAATGGGCTTTCCAAATCATCCCAATCTTTGCACAGGAAAGGAGTTATATTTGGCCTAAAGTTCCCATTTAGCATCCAAGAAGCTGATACTTGTGCACAATGGTATGCGTGTGTGGAAAGAGTCCATAAAGGCCTTCAGATAAGTCATATACCCCCACATAACCCACAAAGGATAAGAACCTCTGTCAGGCTCACGCTATACCTAGATTCATCTAAACATGAGTCTTTGGGACTGGATTGAAGCTAAACTAATATAGAGACAAGTAACCATGTTCTCTATTTCATCTGAATCAGTACCTCAATTAAAAATAAAAATGTATACTTAAGGAGTAATATAATAAAAGTAGTACAGCCTTTGGTTAAGATGGGTTTTAGAAAGATGGGTGAAGGCTGAGTGTGGTGGCTCATGCCTGTAGTCCTAGGTACTCGAGAGGCAGAGATCAGGAGGGTCTTGGTTCAAGGCCCCATCTCAACCAATAAAAAGCTAGACATGGTGGTACACATCTGTGATTGCAGCTTCATGGAAAGCATAAATAGGAGGATCACAATCCAGGCCCTCCCAGGCATAAAAGCAAGATCATATTTGACAAATAACAAAAGCAAAAAGGGCTGAAGACATGGATAAATAGTAGAGCACTTACTTACCCTGAGTACTGCCAAAAACTAAAAACTAAAACTAAAATAAATAAGAGCTGAGCAAGGTGGTACATCCTATAATCCCAGGATTGTGAGTCTGAAGCCAGACAAGGCTACATAGTAAGAACCTGTTTCAAAGAAACAAGAACAAACAAAAAAGGATTTTAGAGTTGGAGGATGGAATCCTAGCCGCATCACTTAGTAGCATGGTGACTTGAAGTTCTTTCTACTCCCTGTGCCTCAGTTTCCTAATTATGGGGTGGTTATGGGGATTAAATGAAAACATCACACAGAGCCAGCCTATAGTAGGCCCAACACATGGTAATTGTTTCCTTTTTGAGTGATTTGCTGGTTATTGGGTGTCACTGCCTTAAGAGTAGGTCCACAAGTTTCTGCTAAGATGTAAGTTTTGATTCAAAGTTGTTTTCAGGTAAAAGAAGTTGCAGGCATAACTAAGTGCAGAGAGCCTTGGTGTAAAGTCATATTATAGTCTTGAGCATAGCAGTTTTAAACTTATGCCAAGAAATTGTACTGAGTTATGACCTTAACTCTGTCATTACCTCATTTTCTTTTTCTGAGTGAAAGCACTTGAATAAAAATAGATATTTCTCAAGTTTTTCCCCCAGGAAAAAGTATGTAACATAAGACACAAGTGGATTTTCAAGCTACTTCCCCTGTGGTGTTCCTGACCAGGGTTCTCCTGTACATGAGGGACGTGCCATACTTGAAACCACTGTCATTTCTGAGTGTCTGTCCACTTTGCCCTCAGTGGAGGTTGTACTCCTCCACCCAAAGTGAGCAGCTGCTCTCATCCTTTGTTCGCAGGGAAGCAGCTCATCTCAGCTCCAGTCCTGGACTGTCCAGCCCTCCTTTGAAGTGATCTCAGCACAGCCACAGCTCTTTGTCCTGCATCCACCTGTGCCATCTCCTGTCAGCCCATGTCACGCCAGTGAGAAAAAGTCAGACTCCAGAAGCTACTTGCCTATTCTGAATTCTTATACCAAAATAGCACCACACCCAGGCAAAAGAGGCCTTTCCCTTAGTCCAGAAGAAAAAGGAGCAAGTGGAATGCCGAAGAAAGTCTGTACGGAGAGACTGGGGCCCGGCTTGCCTTCCAGTGAGCAGACCAAGACTGGCGCTGTACCATCCAGTCCCTCAACTGCAGCCCCACCCAGCGCCAAACTCACCGAGGACTCAGCTCTTCAGGGTGTGCCCTCCTTGGTGGCAGGTGGAAGTCCACAGACTCTTCAGCCAGTGTCCAGCAGCCATGTGGCAAAAGCTCCAAGTCTGACATTTGCATCCCCTGCTAGTCCTGTCTGTGCCTCAGACAGTACTCTGCACGGCTTAGAGAGCAGCTCCCCACTCTCCCCACTGTCAGCCAATTATAGCTCACCTCTGTGGGCTGCAGAACACCTCTGCCGCAGCCCAGATATTTTTTCAGAGCAGCGGCAAAGCAAACACAGGCGCTTTCAGAATACCCTAGTAGTCCTGCACAAATCTGGTTTGCTGGAGATCACTTTGAAAACCAAGGAGTTGATTCGTCAGAACCAGGCAACTCAGGTGGAACTAGACCAGCTGAAGGAGCAAACCCAGCTGTTTATAGAGGCCACCAAGAGCAGAGCTCCTCAGGCGTGGGCCAAGCTGCAGGCATCTCTAACGTCTGGGCCCAGTCATCCAGGCAATGACTTAGACACGTTCTCTGATCACCCAGATATCTAGCACAGAGGCATATTTTCCAGTTATCTGAGTGGTTCTTTGAACTCTTTTGCTGTTACCTACACTGTTTCCCAAAGCTTACGTAAGACCTTTTCCTTCTAAACTCACCTTTGAAGCCAGTCCCTGGCTGCTGTCTTAACCTGTGGTCCATGTTCATGTTGTGTGTGTCTCCATTCCACTGAGGACCTCCAGCTCTGTGTGTCCTTGAGTTCCTTCTCCTTAGCCTGCAGGCACTTAGCTGGATCATGGGGAAAAGCAGGAAGGATGACTGTGTGGGGCTCTTCTAGCTGTCACCTCCCACCATCCTACTCACTAACCAGGATCAAGGGTGCAGTAATGAGGATGAGCATATGGAGTGGGTCACAAGGTTCCCTTCATAGATCCTCCCTTGACTGTCTTAATCACAGAGAAAAATAAGAGGTGTGTTTGCATTCCACAAGGCCTCATGCCAGCTGGGTGAAACCTAAAATGCTTTGGGCACAGGTTGAGCCCGGGTGCAAGCACTTAATCACGTAAAGCTTTGTTTTCAACTTGAATGTCAAGGGACAAGGGTAGTACTGTCTGACTCAGACACTTCAGTCACACACCAGATTGCTCTTTAAAAAGTAGGAAACATGCTTCAGATTTTAAAGGTATGGAATGAATTGAGTACTGTCTGGAACTATAGTTGATGAATTGCTTTTTTAACTGAAGAAGGCCAGAGAAAATAGCCATTGCCAGCATCTCTTGGTCAGCAGCTGAAGGTCTTGAAATAGTGCAGTCTGTTTTTATATCTAAAAAGCTCAAGGATAACTTCAGTGCTTCCTAAGGGTGTGGTGTAAGTTATCTCTCTGCTGCCTTCTTGTTGTTTTCCCTTTGTTTTATGAGAGGAAAGAAGTGATTATGCTTGTATACTAAATAAAATCATCCTGAGATTATAAGAATAAGGCCACAAGAAATTTAAAAGCATTCTCATCAGTTTCCTTTTTGCATCTCAAGTTTTTGCCTGTCCATGTCATGATGACGGGGAGCAACTGAAGAGCACTCTCTTGTGTCTTTCAAGCCAAAGGTGTCATGTTGGTTCTGTGATGCTCATCTCAACATGGAGAATGACGAGAATTTCCAGGTGATATTCACTCTTTCCTGCTCATTGTATCAGTAACTAGATGTCTTAAGTAGGAAAGAATCAAAGATTTTATCCCCTCACTTAAAATTTTCACCCCCTTGAAAACTTTGTTCTTTACAAATTCCTTTAATGAGTTCTTATGGCCAGATCCATCTTTTCTGCAAAGATGTTCCTGAGGTTTTATTAAGCCCAGCAGTTAATGATCATATTTACTAGGTAGCTGTAACTCTAACATCAGAATTTAGAAATTCTGAGGCTTTGGATCTCTCAGACTATGCTCACAAACACATAAGACTTAAAAATAAACAACTTGGTAAAATCTCTAGACTCCTCTGATCAACAGAATTTGCTTTCTGAAAGAGTTTCCAAAATCAGAGCAAATGTGTCTCTAGGCAGACTCAGCTCCTTGTAATGTTTTTGTCTTGGCCCATTCCCTTTGCCTCCCCTCAGTCTGCATGGCACTATAGCTGCTCTGCTCTGCACCATGCTAGGAAGCTTCCTGCTTGGCAGAATAGTTTTGGCAGCAAAGCCATAGAGACAGGTGCATTCAGAACAGCCTGGGCACCAGTCATGAGTCTTACTGAGTGTCAAAAATCTGAAAGCACTTGCTGAGAACCAAATGCATTTCTTTGGAAAAACACTCTGTGGAGCTGTGAGCTTCTCAGACTCCTCCCCCTAGATTGGGGTTTGCATTTCCCTTCCTGTCGTGATAAAAGATGATGAAAGCCATCATCAGTCCTCACTGCTGAGTAACAGCAGCATACCGCAACCTTCCCCTCTTTGATCTTGTACCTAGAGCTGGAAGTCTCTAGACTTCAAGCATGGGTATTCTTTCCTTAGTGGAGCTGGCAGCAAATGAGCCCATGTAGAGAAGCTAGATCTTGGAGCTATCTGTTGGGGCCAGAGGTCAGATCCATAAATAGAGGAACTTCAGAGTTGACCAGGAAGATCTCCATTGGTTGCACAAAGCTGTAAGTAGTAATGGCCTTAGCAGTGCATGATGTCAGTTGTATGAAGTACTGTGGCAAAGTTACTGTTTTCTGACCATGAGAAACCAATTTTAGCTCAGATTTTATTGGCAGTATTTAAACATCTAGAAAAAGTTGCCAGTTGAATTGGTTATGGGCATGGACATTTGTAATTTATTACGCATCACTTTTTATTGATTATAGTATTGTCTGACTTCACTTCTCTATGATTCCTTCAGCAGAAAAGTAACTTATGCATATACTGAAGTGGTTTTTCCAGATATGAATTCTTTAGGGTAGAAATTATTTAACAAATGTGAATTCTTTTGAGAAAGTATGAAGTTATATAGAAATTGACTGTGAAATGTCAGAGGAAAATAAAAGTCACTTACTTGAAAACCGTTTGACCTTTTTGCTTTGTAATTGCTTAAAAATACTAAGCAAGGGCTGAGGGTATAGCTCAGTGGAAAAATACTTGCCTAGCATGTGTGAGGCTCTGGGTTCTATTCCTAGCACTGGTGGCGAGGGGGTCCCCTAAGTGAAATCTAGAGTAAATGTTTGAATTGGGTTAAGTTTCAAACATAGTTTTGTGTCACTTGGGAATATTGAGATTGAATACTGAATATGTGGGAATTCATTCATACTGTTAGCAGTATGGACTTTGGAGGAAATGCAGGCAGTCTTTTTTCTTTTTTTTCCAGTCCTGGGACTTGAACTCAGGGCCTACACCTTGAGCCACTCCACCATCCCTTTTTTGTGAGATAGGGTCTCATGAACTATTTGCCCAGGCTGGCCTCAAACAACGATCTTCCCAATCTTAGCCTTCCAAGTAGCTAGAATTACAGGTGTGAGTCACAGGTGCCCAGCTATCTATTTTATTTCTATTTATTTATTTTTGCAGTGCTAGGGATTGACTACAAGGGCCTTGTGAATACTAGGCAAGCAATCTACCACTGAGCTACATCCCAGCCCTTCAAACGGAGAATTCTTACTGCCCAAAAGGATAATTTGGGATTAAATCACATCTTGTCCTTTGCTGACATCGTCTGTAAACAGCTTTTCCTTTCATCTGAGAAGGACATGGTTGTTTTATCTTTTAGAGACTATATCAATTAGCTTTTTATTGCCTTTCAGACTTTTCTCCCACACCCAATGGATAATGATTCTTCAGTATGATAAGGAGCCATGAATAACTTAACATTATCTTTACTGTCAGAAGTCAGAGACTCCACGGGACTTTGTGAGGTCTTTGGGTGTCACTTTTCATGCACATGGGAAGAGAGATTAGAGATGAGGGGTCTCCCTTGGTGGCAGGGCACAGAGAAAATCACATGCTCTAATGGCTGCTCTTGCAGCTTTTAGCTTTGCTACCTCAGTTTCCCTTATCAAAAGAGGGGAGAAATCTTTGCTGTACTTGACATCCTGAAATCATGGTTCAGTGTGAAAGGATGATGTCTAGATATGCATAAAATATGTGTGTGTATTTTAAATTGGGTAGTAGAGTTTGAACTCCGGGTCTTAGACTTGCTGGGCTGGCACCCTACCACTTGAGCTAAGTCCCTAGCCCAAGAATAACATCTTGAAAATGTTTTAAAATTGCTTTGCAGAGCAGTCTCCCTATGCACAAACCCAGTGATGGAATTCAAGCAAGAGCATTCAGCCTCTGAAGAGTCATTGGCTTGGGTAATTAAGACTAACCTCTACCAAGATGCAGTTTACAGTTAACAGAAGGAGAGCAAATGCCAGCCCAGGCTGGTTACTCTCTGCCTGGCTTCCTGGGAGGTCCTGAGATTTCTGTGGGTCCGTGTGTGACTACTTGGGCCTTTTCCCTCAGAACCCTCCTTTATTCTTAGAACACATGGCTTCCCTGTCTCACTGAGGAATGCTTATGCAAGACATGAGAAAACTGCTTGGAAAAAAACCAGCCTGCGTAATCCCTGCCTCCAATTGCAGCAACTGGAGGAGATGAGCAAGAAGGCGAGAAAAGCCCATGGAGTACAAAATGAACACAGCAAGTGGGTGGACACTGTTAGGAAATGCAGGGAACAAAAAATGAAAGCAGCATCCTGAGGCTCAGGTTGAATGGCTGTATTTCAAGCGAGGCCTCAGAGGGCCTCCAGAACCTGAGAGTAAAAATAGCTGCCTTTCATCTTCCTAAAGACTCGCTGTATCTCAGGAATTGCAGCAGCACGGCAAGGGTGCTTGTTCATTCAGTTAACATCCTTCTAAAAGGAGAGCCAGGGCCTCCATTCTCTGGGAACAACCAGCAAGCTTTGTCCACTGGTGTGCAGAGGAGAGTGCTTGGTCTGAAGCCTGCCCTTCATTTAGGGGTGAGAGTGAAAAACCAGAAACCCTGAAAAATTGGGACCTGCTACTACTCGTAGGTGGTAAACAATAATATATCTCTTCAGAGAACTGGATTGAAGTCACCATCTCCATTACCTCTCCTCTAAATGAATAAATTGGTCCTAGAGTAGCTAGGGGAGAGCTTCCCCTTCACCCTCTGCTGGTTGGCTGGAAAAAACAGCAGCCAAGAGAAAGGGCATTTGGTTATTAACATGTAGCAAGGAAGTCACAGGAGAGTGACGCCCAGTAACCCACTGAGACTCAGAGGCTTATCTGCCCTTTCTCACTGGGGACACAATCATTGGTAAATGATTTTCTTTGCAAGAATGGGCCTGGGAGACAGACAGTAGCTTGTGACAAAGTCTGTTAAGGTGTGATGGCATTCCTTAGCCTTTCTTTCTGGATTGGAGCTCAGTGAGTGATGCTTGGAAGGGGGTCCAGTGCAGGGGACAAGTCCATGCTTTCCTCCTTAGCAGGTCCAAGCTTTAGACAGCTGAGGTGAGAGCAGAATAGTCTCCTCAGCCTTGCTACTCTCCAAGAGCCTTTAATTTAAAACAGCATGCCAGGGTGCCTTGTTTGGGGGTGAAATTCCCTACGCTCCTTCACCTAGGGGAAGAAACTGGAAGAGAGGCATAATAGGTCCCCTCCACAGGTCTTGAGTCTTCAACACATGCGGCTGACCCTGGCTCTGAAGGCCTGCAGAGCCTCTTGGTGAAGGCTTAATTTCTACTCCAACCTTTATTTGAAAGGTCAGTGCTTTGGTCATCTTTGGGTTAGCACACTTCAGTTAGGGGTAGAGTTCATACTGTCAAACTAAGAACAGAAGTGTTGTACTAGGCACAATCTATTAATAAGATTATGTGTGCACCCGCACACAGCTGGAGGGTGTTAGGAGAGTTCTTGGAGGGAGGTGAACCATCCTGTCGGGCGACTTGCCTCTCTTCTGAGCTCACCCATGGCAGCACCTGGGGCTTTCCTTGGGCCTCCTCTAGCAGCTGCCAGCAGAGGCCTTCTCAGGATCCCTAGACCTTCCCTGTCCAGGACCTACAGAAACGTACTTGTGGGCCCAGCCTTACAGACCTGGTATCTGAACCAAGAACTGTGACCCAGGAACCAGGAAAGGTAGTAATGCAAGTTTGTGCCTGATGCCAAAGGTGAGTTACAGACCAGAGCTTCCCACAGCTCTGCAGGACTTGGAGAGGAACTCAAGATGAGGAGAGGTCCGCACTCAGCCTTGGCAGAGGGTAGAGCTGGGAGTCAGGGAATTGTGTTTTAGTCGAAGGAAAGAGCAGAGTAGAGGCATGATGGTGAAGCAGAAACATGGCTTCAGCTCTGCATCTGGTCTCTGTGTGAGCCTAGTGAGCTACATAACCTCTTTGTGCCTTGTTTCCTCACTTGTTGGGTTGCTTCCTATCAACACTAAACGATTGTTGTGTCTCATTGTTAAAATGTCTAGTGGCCCCATACAGTGGGTATTCAATAATAGTGATCATAAAATTGCTCCTGCAGGTGTAAGGTGCCATCTGGAATGAGCACCGGGCTGGCTGTGCTGCCATGGTTCAAGGCCAGACTTTCACTACTTAGCAGCAGTGACCAGCAAATCAGCCAGATCCCTGCCTGCCTCTGGCACCTTGCTACACCAGGAACAGAGCCCTTCCTAGTGCACACTCAGCAGCTCACCACCACCCCCCACATGTCCCAGGCCTCGCCCCTCTTAAAAGCTCCATAGCCAGTAGGTAAAGAGCTTTAGAGGATACCAGTGTGTTTCAGCCCCACCCTAGCCAGGACTCTTAATCTCACACCTGGCCCAGCCTTCTACAGGGAAGTGACTCAGCCTCCAGTTGGCTGCACACTCTGTGCTTCATAACCCCTCAGCTCGTACAACTGCCTCACACTCCTCCACTGCAGTGGTCTGCTAGCCTTGGTCGCACAGAAGAATCCTCTAGGGAGCTCTTAAAATCCTGTTCCCAGGCCACAGTCAGACTAATTCCATCAGGTACTCAGGAATGAGGAGCTCCCCCTACCCCACCGCCATCAGTAATTTCTAAAGTTCCTCTGGTGACTGCAAATGTGCAGACAATACAGGAAACCATGGTGGAATTGGGTTAGGAACTGGAATGGGGGAGCAGTTCCCCATCACCTGCAGCTAGGTAGAAGCACAAAGTGCAGGCCTGCTTCATTTGAACAGATTCCCAGGGATTCCCAAGTCTAGAGACAGTGGCACCAGCTTTACTGAATATGGTCCATGGTCCAATTGCACTGTCAGGTATTTTACAAGCATCTCATTTAATTCTCACAAACCTCTCAGCTGTTAACCCATCACCACCACCTCTGACAAACAAGGAAGTAACCTGCATTCATTCAACAAATCCTTATGAGTGCCTATGTGACAGGCTCTGTACCGGGATTGGGAATAAAAAATATGCCCTCCAGGCTGGGGAAGAGCTCAGAGGCCAATGGGATGTGGATTTTGACCTCTTTGCTTACCGGCTGTTGGGTTTCTGGACAACATCCTCAGCCTGTCTGAGCTCCAGTTTCATCTTCAGAACAGGGCTAAAAACCACACAGCACAGGGCTGTGGGCATGACTCGGTGAGCTTCCCTAAGCCAAGTACTCACCAGGCCTGGGTGTAGCCCGAGCTCAAGAATGGTCGCCATAGTGACAATACCAGGTGGCAAGGAGATAAGGGAGTGGGGAAGGCACCGGTCACGGCGTCGCCTGAGAAGGAGGCGGCAGGGAGAGAGAAAACCTCCGGAGGGGCTCGGGCCGGGAGCGCGCCCTCGGGAACGTGGATGCACTGGCCAAGGTGAGGACCAGGCAGAGGTCCTTGCGCTCCCGGACGCACGGTTCCCACCGTCAGGCGGTTCTCCCCCATTTGCCAACGCGGAGACTAGTGTCGGGTCGGTCTGCCATTGACTGCCCGAGTCTGGGCCCCAGATCTCGCCCTTTCCCTGCTGGAGGCCCTTTGTGTCTCGGCGAGTCAAACACCGGCAGTCCGTTCTGTCCCCGTTGAAGGTGGTCTTCCGCGCAGTTCCGGGCGGGTATCAGGAACCTGGCGCGGTGGAAGGGGGCGCCCCCTTCCGGCGGACTCGAGCAATGCAGGGGACCGACCGTCCTGGTCACTTTGCGCAGGCGGAGCGTAGACAGGCCGCCCCCGGACGTGGGTCTGAGAATCCGGGCAGGGGTTCCACGGTCCTCAGAGTGCACCATTGTTTCTTGTAATTTATTTTTCTCTCCTGAAAGCGCTACTAATTAAATCTTTTCTCTGCAAGCTGTCGAATCCCCACCCCTGCTGCTGTGTATTACTTACCTGGCGCGTGCGAGGGAATTCTCGGCCTCAGCTGCCGTGCACATCGGGCTCCGTGGATGGGACTGGCTGCCTCCTTGGCCTTCCTGCTCGAGTCCCCTCCCTGGG